TCCCAGGGTTGGACGAGGTTGTGCCTTCTAAACATCTAATGGCATCTTCTCCGCCTCCCTTGGAAGAATACGAAATTACATTTGTGATCGCTAATACCAAAGCGAAAAGGTCGCCAGGTTTGGATGGAGTAACGGGCGAGATGGTAAGAGCCATCTGGAAAGTTATCCCGGACTACCTCTTAAAGATGTACAGTAAATGCTTAGCGGATGGCCATTTTCCAGCCCAGTGGAAAGTGGCCAGGGTGGTACCGCTCCTGAAGTGGCTTGATAAGGTTAGGAGTGATCCTAGCTCTTATCGGGGCATCAGTCTCCTCCTAGTGCTTGGTAAAGTGCTGGAGAGGGTGATGGTAGAAAGGCTTCTGGAGATTTCAAGTCTGAGTTTGTCTGACAAACAATTTGGGTTCCGAAAGGGACTCTCTACCGAGGATGCTTGGCTGCGTGTGCACAAATGCGTTGATGCTAGCGTAGCAAAGTATGTGTTAGGGATATTTGTAGATTTCAAGGGTGCGTTTGATTATCTGCATATGCCGACGATCTGCTCATCCTAATCGAAGGCCAAACGCGAGCTGTTATTCAGCAGCTCGGAAAGCGTATAATGCACATGGTTACAGAGTGGAGGCAAGGTGTTGGTGAGTGTGTCACTGGAGAAAATCGTGATGATGCTATTGAAAGGTAGCCTCTCACACGGTCAACCGCCAGTGATCAGAATGAATGGGGCTAGTCTTAGGTACAAGACTGTTGTCAAGTACCTAGGTATAACTTTTGAATGTGGTAGACAGGTTCGCCGTGTCCTACGGAGTGAATGGGGGTTGCTGTACGGGCCATATATGGTAAACTATTCGCGGCCTGTGCCACTTATAGATCACCAATATGGCACCGAGAGATCACGACTGTTGTTGGCCAAAATAAAATTTTGAGTTGCCAGCGAACTATGTTGTTAGTTTGTCTACGCGTGTGTCGGACAGTTTCGACGGACGCGTCATAGGTATTGTTGGGTGCGTCCCCTTCAGACCTGGAAGCAAGGCGAATTTGCACTGCTTTGTGGATAAAGCGGGGACTGCCATTACTGCAAACTGACGGGTTAAATAATGATGAAGTAGAGAGGTTAAATTTCAGGGAGCGTAACACGCTTTTAAAGGAACGTGTCCGTGACTTATGGCAATGGTTGGGAAAACAGTTCGAAAGGCAGAACGACCTTTGAATTTATCCGTGATGTCTCGTACGTGGGGAAACACCCAGATTTTAGTTTTAAACTTCATTTGGGATTTCTGCTTACGGGCCACGGATCTGCATAAGAGAGGTCTGTCGGGAACTGGGGCTTGCCTATGTGGCATGTCCGCAGATTGGTTCCACGTTTTGTGTGTATACTCCAAGTACTCGGATTTTAGAGACTTGGAAGCAACGGGTATACGATAGACTGGTGGGAACTTTGACCTTAGTCTGGCCCTCTCTACTTCTGAGACGGTGGCAGCTCTAGGGGCGTATGCTGCGCGGGCATTCAACAGCAGCGAGGAGAGACTTGATCTGGACAACTCTGTCTGACTCTTGTCCGTGCTCTTCTTGTACGGTGACAATGACTGAAGAACAGGGGGTTAGGACCTGCTAAGATTTTGAGATAGGCCTCGCTCCGCGCAGTGAGAATACCATGCCCATGCGCATGGTATGGACTGGTTTCCTTCAAATGACTATCTCATGCCGAGTGCGGGTCTTATGAGACCTAGAAAGTCCGACCGGAGACTTTTATAAATTATTTCTAAATTTTTCTTCTCAATTCCGGTACCACTTTCGTCAGGAGCCCCCAAAGCACATTCTCTTGGTTTGGCCTGACAACGGGAACGGCCCATAGCGGGAGTTTCGTGGTGGCTGTGGTTGGCCCAAAAATCGCAAAAGAGCTTTCTGCTCGGTCCGGACTTGCATCGCAACCGGGTGCCTTACCCACAGAAAGGCAGAGGCTTTAGATAGTGCCTCGCTCTCACCAGAGATGGGATGCGACCAGAACGTATCTTATCTGGTACTCGAAGACTTAATCTTCCTCAAGCCAACGTGTGCGCCGATTTCGGCACCATATGTTGCGAGGATTATTAATCTCGGGGAGTTCGAGTGTTTCACACTCCGTGTGCCATCGGGCACCGTGGGGTTAAACCTTCACGGTAGTGTACCCACGTTAAACCTTCAGAGACATCTATCTTAATCTATTCTTATCCTATGTATATCCTATTCTTATACTACGCCTATCCTACTCTTATCCTATCTTACTCTCTAGCACTCCTCTTTCCCCAGCCAGAGACGAAGAACCCGTGAGGCCAAAACGAGGGACGACTTTGAGTCCTCACACTACATCCATACACTGAGCAAACGCCGGAACATAAAAGAAACCAACCTCGCAAACCTAACTAATATATGCATTTGCATATATATATATACGTATTATGTATTATATACATGTAATATATCTATATCTGTATAAGATTTCAGCCAATTAAGCCGAATTTTACTATTCAGAAAACATATCAATAACAAAAACGACTAATCGTAAATGCTACTGTGATCAAACATGTAGGTCAGTGTAACGTAATCTTTTTTAAATCGATTTATTATTCCAATATCTTGCGATGGTAATATACGAAGGACAGACAATTGGACAAACATGGTTAAATGAAATCGCAATGACTTAAAACAGTCTAAAGGTGGAGTTACATTCGTTTTGCCAAGCGTTCATGTAATACCCCATAAGGAAGCTTTAGAGAACCTATAAAGTTGTTGATCCGCACCAAATTCCCTATCAACCTAAGCATGTCAGTCTACAACGAAATACAAGATATGTGTATGTATGCTTAACGATATGTGTGAAATGGATGCAGCCTTTGCGCAAATGTACAAAACATGGGCTACCGTTTGTTGGGTAAGTGCGGGGATTCAATTTAATGTATTAATGATAACTTACAACGATTGTCTTCGTAGGCAGCTACATGCATAATGTGCGCCTTGAAAACCCGGACGAGTACGATTCCCTTTTCATACTAAAAATTGCGTTTGGAGAAAAGCTGAACATATTAATATATGGCAAAAGACCTGGGATTACCCTTCGTTTCTCAAGAGAATTAAAAGATAAAAGTAGTAACCTCTCAAGTCAATTTGGAGAAATTGGTTCTAGCAACAGGATACCTACCGTAATCGAGGATGTGAACGGTGATGAGGATCTTCAAGTAACACACATGGCGAATAGCGGCTAATTGAAAAATATAGCACATTACAAAAGATTAGGTGCTGTTATTGATATTTGGAATATCATTACGCTGGAGAAGACGTAAGCCACAAATGTTCTCTAGAAATTCGTTCAATCTATCTGGTCATCCAGTTAGGCTTAGTAAACCAGTGTCGTCGTTAGGATGCCAAGAAAGATTTACCAAGTTAAAATCGCCGAACCCAATTATCACACACGGCGGCTTCGTACTAGCTTAACGGTTAAACAGTTAAATTTACATATACATCTTGTTCTCCGTGTATTGACAAACGATTAGCACTATAACTTTTCGTATCTTTCATGCGTACATAAGAGCGCGATTTACCAAAGATAATGTATACATGTATTTTCTTATCAGAACTATAATTATAACGCAAGTGTTTTAAAGACACTACTTGTTTGTACTAGCCAAATCTACCACACGTGTTCTTTTATCGTATGTATTGTAAGTATAAGACGGTGTATTTCTTTTCTTTTATTTTGAAATTGCCAATTTTTGCATCTCCAAATGTTTTCGAAGCGACCTTTTGACTTTGATCCTGGGAAGGGCTTTGATTTCTGCTGCGACTGTATTCATTGCTATGTTGTGCGTCTAATTATAATGAATTCGAAATATTTTAGAATTAATATCTTATGGTTTAGAAACACAAACAAACATGATTTGCTTACACAAATGAAATTAGGGAGTACAAAAATGATAGCATCTTATAGCATTCAATGAACGTAAAACATACATGGGATGCATGCAAAGTCAACCATTTAAGCGTTAACTGTACATGTATTAGCGGACCAAAGGGGGCAGCTTTTCCCCTGAACATGAAGATTGTTGCGACAATTATGTGGGTAACAGCTTTCCAGAAATATCTTCACGTGATCGAAGGTCATAGACGAAAACATGAAAAGTTGTTGATTTTACGCAAGTTTCTTCTACCTTATGAGAATACAGGTACGCAGATCACGCACTTTCTTGAGCCATTGATTGTTTGTGCAAAATTTCAGCTGCCAATCCTCAGTTTTATAGCCGTGGTGACTCCCAAAATTTATTCGCCATTGACGGATTTTCGTAGAAGCAGATGTATGCAAAACTTCCGTATTTCCAATGTTAAGAACTCTCGCCAACATAGCTTAAAAAGCGATATATCATTTTTGTATTTTTAGATGTTGTCCGTAATATTTCGAGAGAAAAACTAAGCAGCTAAGTATGGACTGACTAGTACTAATAACGTGCTGAGTAAATCAATACAATGATTTGTATATTCACTCTCCGTTTTTAATAAATAAACTATTACTACGAATTCTGAAACACAAGTGCGTCTTATGTAGACGTATCATAAGAACTGGCAAAGTACGTAAGTAAAGTAGTCAACGCGAACACCTTCTCAGTTCAACAGAGCATATGTAGAAATTTTTGGATTGAACTTTCACTTACTGGTACAAAAATTGTTTGCTTCATAATTACTTTAATATTCCTTTTTTATTAGTACTTAGGGCGTAAGCAAATCCATATAGTTTATAAATTTTTCTTTTACAAAACCTTCTAAATATTATTCATATAATAAAAATCTACTATTCGAGCATGAATACCAATATAAATTGACGATCATCAGTAAAAAATAGAAATACAATATCAAAAAAAAAAATTAAATTAATTAAAATAAGCAGTAATATAAGTTATTTCAAATAAAACATACAAATAGTGGATAAAAAAATTCAATTAAAATAAAGACAACTAAATAGAAACTAGTTTTAAATGCAAATACACATACATATACATTTTCCGTGAACCTCTCAATATGCTTTACAAAATTTTGCAAATTTTCAACAATTTCTACATCTTATAAACTACATATGCGTTAAGATCAATGTGCATTTGCGCGTGTGAATTAGCTACTAATATACACCATCGTTAACTTGATTCACAAATAAGTTATAACGAATTTGAATTAGAGTCGTATAATTTCATTTTGAAGCCGGTGCTAAGAGTTTGACTAACTATTCAAATATCGTAACATTTTCCAACTTTTGATCAACTTTTTTCATCTTTATTTTCGATTTTTTTGTATATCTTTTGTTTTAAACGATATCTGGCACTTAATTTTAAATGAAAGCTATGTGTTCTTTAGTAATTTGATTTTGTTAGTAAAAATTGCATTATCAAATAAGAATCTGTTTCGTATTCGCAGTTTAGCTTAAAATACTTCTTTAGTAATTTATTTACCCAAGTGCAATTTCCCCAACAAATTAGTTGCCTGTTGGCTTGCGGATTCCTGGGCATGCGAAGCGGCTCCATGAATTGTCTGAAAATATAAGCAAACTGTTCTTTAAATATAATCTTATTTAGTTCACAAAACTTTAAGCACCTTTTCCAAGTTTTCCCTCTTTTGATCAACGAATTGATTAGCTTCTTGCATTTTGTGATCAACCGCCTGGCTGGTAGCCTTCACAGCGCCATCTACTACGCCTTCAGCTTCTTTCATTTTTTGATCCACAACTTGCTCAGCAGCTTTAACCGATTTGTTAATAGCTTCATTTGCCGCCTTTTTTGTTTGATCTACAGCGTTAACTGCTGCCTAAAATATGAGCATGAATAATAAGTAGGGGATCGCGCTGAAATAAAAACTGATGTAAAGAGACCTGTTGAGAAGCGTCCGCGATATTTGCAGCCATTTGCTTGGTATTGGCCGCCACTACATGCGCTTGATGGACGGTATTGTCAAGAGTATTTTTGGAGTTATCTACGACAGAAGTCGCCTTATTAACTCCTTGACCCACAATTTCCCCGGCCTTCTGGGCCTCAGTAGCCGCCAAATCAACTGCTTCTCTAGCTTTAGAAAACGGAAGTACAACTACTTTTGGTTTTCTTCACGATGTAATCTTGCTTACCAGTACCAACGGCCAAATCCTCTGCTTCACTTTTGGTTTGCTGCACTGCCTGTCCCACTTTTTTGGCTTGTTCTTCGGCCAATTTCTGGGCATTTTCCACTTTTTCTTTCGCTAATTTTTCGGCTTCATCTTTCTTCTTGCTGAAAAGATTGGTGGTCTTGTCGCCCAGACCTTTTAATGAGGCTGTAAAAAAAATATTTTTAAGTTAATTTGATTTTCATTTACGTGAAGATAATGTACTAACAATTGGAAGTTCTTTTTTTAAATCTAGATTAACACTACTGTAGTGCACATGTATTTTTCTTTGAAATAAAATAGTTGAAAATCGAAGTTTTTATTAAACACAGTTATCAGCATAATTTGGCAAGCTATATTGTTTAGATCACTATAAAAAAGCAAGATTTGCAATTAAAAAATAATAATTTGCTGATTTACGTTTTTCCTTCCGCATTTATTTTTTTGATTATCTTTATGCACTAAAATTTGTAACATTTATGTTTTTGTAATTGTTATTCTTCTCCTTATAAGAATTATATATAAGGCGTAACTAAAAATAAATTCTTTACACTACTTATATAGAATTTTTTCAAATTTCTGTTTTTTAAAGCGTCACAGGGACGAGCTTGCCGAAAAAAAACACTTGAAAAAATGAAATTGGAAAAATTCTTGAACTTGAAATCTATTCGCTTCGAGTCGCGTCTTAAACACGCAGAGGAAGCTTGTATACGTGAGCTTCCTTGAAAAATTAAATTTATTGCTCTCCTTTGATTTAAATGTACCTAATGGCACCGATTTTTTCGTTTCGTTCGCAATATATAAACCCACAACACTTATGAACGAATCTTTCGAATTTTATGTACAACAATAATCGAGTATGCTGATAAAAACCACGAAATGTTGATCAGCATTAATTTCTTAGTTGAGTTAGCCACATAAGCCAACCCATTCATATATGTAGCGCATCTATTGCTCTATCGATCAGGTTTCTCGAATATAAATAAGATATAAATAAGATAAAATATAAAACTATAATACTTGATCGATAATTTGATTGAAGTTTGAAAATGCATTTCGAACACAGAAGAACGGACAGCTAAGAAAAGACTAATATAACATGGTTGAACATAGAAGGGCGGTTATTAGAAAACAACATAGAAGTATTAAACAGCTTCCACGTTTGTTTCATCTCTAAAAACATGCATAGATTCAGCAGGAAATATATGATATTAAAACATAAAACCAAAAGCCAAGCAAAAAATAGTTGTTAAAAAATTAACATTCAGCATTCAAATTTTCTCAATTTTCTTTACGAGTCGCTAATTTCTTGTCTCGACCATCATCTTTTCGACTGATAAATCGATGTGTATATATAAAATCGTTCATCCATTTGAATGGTAAAATAAGAAAATGCCATTAAATTTATCGAGCAATGAGTTATTATCAAATTCATTTTACACATTGTCATGTGAGATGATGGGAGCTATTATTGTTTACCTCAATGGACCTGAACTGACATAACAAATTATAAAGAAAAGAAAGAAGAATTGAAGGCATTTGTGTTTCGTTTGTCACGTATTCGTTAGCTACGTATCAATGCTAAATTGCGCAAGTAATATTAAAGAATATGTTTTGCGTTTTTACCTTTGTAAAAAGACACGTTTGAAAAGAGGAAGGAAAAGTGCAGTTTTGCTCAATTTAACGCTTACGTTGTTCTGGCGAGCACCACATATAATTAATGAATAATTAATGAATTAATGCGTTATTAAACCCAAAACTAATGACATTAAGCCGATTTCCATTAATATGACCCCATTTTTGATATCAACATCCCAACAGGCTTGCAAATCTTAACGGCGTGTTCATTATGTAACAACTACCAAATTTCAGATATTTTTATATTCTATTAAACATCGAACCAGCGGCCAACATCTTTAAGTTTTTTATAGTAACTTTTCCAGCTTCTTCAGTTAATCCCTATTCGCCACCAAGATACTTATTGCGAAATGCTGTCGCGCACATTATTGCGCATGATATTCCACGAATTCTTTGTGTCAATGGGTTCATTGGTATTGAGAATATGAAATCAGTCAAAGGACGCACCCAAAGTACTTGAGGCCTCTGTTATCAAAAGCAAAAAAAATGCGATTTAGTGCTTGTTACTTATAATCCACAATAAATACAACGATAATAGTTTACACTCATATTCCATAAATAATCCTAACTCTAACCGTGAAAAAATGTCGCCAACCCACCCAGTGTGGCAGCTCTGCATGCGCGATATAGTCGTCTATATTTTGTTTTGCTAATTAATATTTTAATTTTTTGTTGAATTTCGTGGTTATTTTGCCTTAATGTGTGTAAATTTATAGTATACTGTGAGAAGAAAGTGAGTGAATTCAAGGTAATAGAAGTATTTTTTTTTTACGCTTTGATTCATTGGATTTTTGCAAACAAAAATTTGAGCTCTGATATAAGTGTCTTTTCTTTTGTTTTGTTTTTTTATATATTTTTTTTTTGTTTATTTTTTTGGTGTTTGTAGTTTTTTTTTTTTGCTTGTGCTATCTTGTTACAGTGTCAACGTAACGGAAAAGTTTTGCTCAAATTGATTGATAAATTTTGTGTTGTGGACCTTTTTGCAATTTGTTCTGTCTTTTCTTCATAATCCTCTTCTGTCTTTTAGACTGGACATAGATTGTTTATATACACCTTGTCGTACGAAAAAGGGGGCGCGGAATATGAAAAATTCGTTACGTGTTGGCTTTGCGATTGCTTTGGCCATGCAAAATGTGTCGGTATTATCGGCCGTGCTGCTGATGCAGCCGCTGACCCCTCGGAGGGATTACGATGGTCATGTCCTGACGGTAGGCAGCGAGTAATACACTTCTACAAATTGTTCACGGAGACGAGAAATAGTTTCTGTGAGTTGAGTAAAAATCTCGGCTCCTTGTGGGAAAAGTTTCAGATCATTAAGACTAGGTTTGATGAGTGTCGTTTTATTGAGCACTCCTCTTCTTCCCAAGCTAATAAATTCACAACTCGTAGCGTAGCGTGTGGTACGTCACCTCTAGTTCCTCCTTAGTCGGATTCGTTGGTGCAAGTTAGCGCTTCCGTAATTTCCTCAAAGAACGTCAGCGTTTTTGATATGGCTGAGTCGGTCTGTAATAAAAAAGTCACAAATAAGCCGGTAAGTCCTTCTGGTTTAAGCTACGCTATAGTGACAAGAGTATCGCCTCCTAGTGGCGTCACTCACTCAACTCAGGCGTCATCGCCTAAAACTAATAAAGAGCAATATAAATCATCCTCTCCCCCCGGCTGTGCGAGTGTGAACGCTGGTCACCAAACTGGGCATGCTGTACAAACTGCCCCATTGGTAACCCCATCTATGTTCTCTCCAATTCAAGACTCCCCAGGCGTGAGTCCTACTGCTCCTAGCTGTAATGATATTTGCTTGACGGCAGTTCCTCCCAGAAATGCAATATTTGTGTCAATACTGGCACCGAATACATCTGTGGATAACATAAAAAGTTATCTGGCGGCGAAAGTCCCATCAGTCAATCTAATGCGGGTAAGTATGTTTAAATCGGCTCCGTCTCAATCTAAAGCAATTGCTTTTTTTTTAAATTCTTGCTTCGACTGAAAACATCGATATGTTATTAAATAAACCATTGTGGCTGGTTGGATCCTTAATCAAGGAAATTATCCCACGTGATCGACCCCGTAATACTAATGCAATAGTCCTTTCCCCTTCAAGAAACTAAATGTTTCTTCAGGCTCACTATCTCTGATTTATCAAAATGTTCGGGGACTAAATTCAAAAATTCTTTATACCTTCCTAACTTCAGTGAGCAAGGAATTCTCCTGTTTGGCGTTCACTGAAACTTGATCTACATTTGTCTGAACTTTTCCACAATTCTTTCTAGGTTTTCAGAAATGATCGATTGGATCGCATTGGTGGTGGTGTATTAATGGCCATATCTTCGTCATTTCATAACAAACAACTATTTATAACCTGCTATTTTCCTTATTCCGTGGCAAGGCATAGATTTAACTCCCTCAACCTCCATTATTATTGCATATACCTTCAGTTCATTAAATCCTCTCTGTTTACTAATCCTAAATATTTTTTTAAATTTGTTAACTCAAAAAGAAAAATTTTCATGCATTCCTCGCATGTTTCTTTTAATGGCTCTGATTCTTCGGATGATTTTGAAATCTCAAATCTGTTTGCTGAGTACTTCCGTCAAAACTTTTCGACTGCTAACTCCAATTTATCCGCAAAGTGCCCATATCCTATAACTAACTTGGTTTCAATTCCTAATTTGGTTATTGCTGAAAATGATGTTTTTAAAGGCTTGAGCTCTCTAAAATATACTTGTGCGCGTGGACCTGGTGGAATTCCATCCTGTGTGCTTAAATCTTGCGCTGTCGAGTTATATGGTGTTATCTCTAAGATTTTTAAGCGGTCTTTGAATTTAGGTGTTTTCCCTTTGTGTTGAAAGAAAATTTTCCTTATTCCCACTCACAAAAGTGGAAGTAGACAACTTGTTGAGAACTACAGAGGCATAGCCAAGTTGAGTGTCTTGTCCACGCTGTTTGAGCGAATTGTGACTCAGCATTTGGCATTTGCCATTAATCCGTATATTTCTCCGCACCAGTATGGCTTTCGGAAAGGGCGACCTACGGTCACCAATTTGATAGAGCTTACTTGTCATGTTTTCAAGACTTTTTCTAGTGGCTCTCGCACAGATGTAATGTACACTGATTTAAACCATAACTTACTTATCTTTAAACTCCAAGCCTTCGCCTTCCCTTTCTATTTAGTGAAATGGATAAGCTCTTATCTGCACAATAGATCCTTCAGGGTTTTGTTTAACTTCATCACCTCGAATGAATTCCCCGTTACGTCTGGCGTACCTCAAGGAAGTCACTTAGGTCCCATTTTATTTAGTTTATACATTAACGATCTTCCATCGGTGGTTAATTCCAACCAGATCTTAATGTATGCGGATGATGTGAAACTGTTTTCCTCCTTCTCTGTTGAGTCCTAATCACATCAGCTTCAAGGTGACATGGATAATTTTGTTGCATGGTGCTCTGTGAATCTTCTGAGACTAAATCTGAGTAAATGTAAGAAGCTTTCTTTCTCAAGAAGAAACTCATTCATTACTCAGTATTTCATTGATTCGCACAAGTTGGAAGATGTCGATTCGTTCACAGATTTAGGCGTTCTATTTGACTATAGATTACGTTTTTACTTGCACATTGAGCTCTCGTTAAGCAAAGCTAGGTCCACGCTTGGTTTTATAAAGAAGTGGTCCAATGAGCTTGATGATGCTTATAGTACTAAAAGGCTGTACATGTGTTTGGTTAGACCAATACTAGAGTATGCCTCTGTTGTGTGGTCTGCTTCTTATAGGTGCTATGTTGATTCAATTGAATCTGTTCAAAGGCAATTCTTGATTTTTGCCCTTAGGAATTTGGGTTGGGATAAGATTGCCTCTCTTCCCCCCTATGAAAATAGGTTACGTCTGTTGTCCTTACCGTCTCTCGAGAAACGTAGATTGGTTCTTGGTGTTTCCTTCGTAATCAAAGTAATAAATGGCGCTATTTGGCTCGCCTGCATTACTTGGTGAAATAAGCTTTAATGTCCCCAGCCGCTTCTCTAGGCGCTTTACCTTGGTTAAGCTTAGTCAATGTAAATATAATTATAAGCTGTTTAAGCCGCTCAGAGCTGATTGCAGGAACCTGTCTATCAATTATTCTCATTATCGGACTCTTGACAGTCCATTAAAGCAACATTGCTTAATGCGCGTAATTTCCCCATGTCGTACTGAAAGTACCTCTTAACCTTAAAATGTTTTATATTTTTGAGAGGCAAATTGCTAATGTGACTGCTGTGTATCAGTCTGAATTGAAGCAGCTTTTAAAAACTGTTAAGCAAGAGAAACTTACAAAATTCTTCAAACCATTGCCTAAGCCTTAAAATAATTATTCAAAATATTCAAAAACTTCAATTAAATTGATTTTTTTATATATTTGATTTTTTTTTTTATTTTGTCACCTAGGAACATATCCCCTATAATCCCATATAAATTACCATTCCATATTCACGGTTTCTGTATTCGCGGCATTGTTATGAAACGTATACCCCGCGAATAAGGAGGTTTTACTGTATAAGTAGAATAAATAAATAAATAAATTAATTAATTAATTAATAAATATTATAGACTATTCAAACTTAAACAAAAACGACAAAAAAAAAAAATTTGTGACGTGTGCGGTGAGAATGCTGTGAATGAACGAAGGACAGGAGTGGTTTGCTCGATTCCGTTGCGGAAATTTCAATGTCAAAGGTGCACTTCATCGTCACTGATAAAGTCGACGAAATTTTGCAACTGGAGGGGAGCGTGTGCGTGCGTTTGCTTAAGGGAGCAAAAGCAATAGAATCGTCAATTCTCATTTTTAGTATTTTGATGTAAATATTTGTCTATTATTTATATGAATTGCTTTTTTTTGAGAATTATTATTTATCATTTTTCTAAATACCTATCTATTTACCGCGAAAAAATTTTTCTTATACTTATTTTTTCTGAAATCTGCTATATACATTTTGCCTATTTATTAGGCAACTGTGAGCGATCTTCCACACCACCCACAAAGTATATTGCACTAGGCATATTAGCAATTATTTTATTATTGTAATTATTATTAATTTAGCCAGAGCATAAACTCTAAGAGTAAAGTCATAAAGCACTAGCATCTAAAGCTATCGAGATTTATTGAAGACTCTACCGCACTTGAGATTTGAACCCACGACCATTAGGCGATTATTTTTTAAATGGCTGCTTCCTTTCTTTTTGTTCCTATCGTCAGTTACCAAACTGTTGGATCAAAATTTTACGTTCTTACAAAGAAGCACCTTAAACAGTCTAAATAATTAAACCGATTCGAAATTTTCAATTGTACCCATATATACTTTGAAAGCTTCATATTGGATAGCAATATTTGAATTAAATAGAATAGGAATGCATATAAATTTTATATATATAACTTTGAAGCATGTCAAGTCGTAACACTTTAGCGGTATAATGGGTGGAGGTGTCATCACGGGAATTCGGATATTTATGTGTCGAACTGGGTTCGATTTCGCGCGGGTTCATTTTTAGTTTGTTTTTATTTAAGTGGGATTTTGGGCAAAGTCGAACATTGATGAAAGTGCAGAAATTGGAAATAATTATAGGTTTTTTTTTTTAAATCACTATCATAATAATAATTGGAAAAGTATATACGTACATTGTGGATTATTATTAAGAAAAATAAGCATAAGGAAAACTTTTTGGCAGTAAGTAGGCATATAAAAATATAACAGTAATCCTACAAAAAAAAGGCAAGCTTTATTACTTTATCATTTATGAGAAACTAATTATACGCTACACCACTCGTCCAAAAATAGTTCTAGGTGGATCCTAATTTTGTAGACTTCATTGTACCCTATATCACTTGTGGTACGGGGTACATTAACTTATGCGATCGTATGTAACATCCGGAAGGGCTTAAGATGAACCGAACCGTTTATTATACCAATCCATTCAGAATCATTATCTGAATTGATCTGCATCTGTCTGTCCGTCTGTCCGCCTCTCTGTTTGATATCTGTCCACGCAAATTTTTGTTCAAGCTACAGGTCGAAATTTTGGAGATATTTTGATGTAATTTGGTATAGTGACGTTTTTTCGCCCAAGGACGGACGCTACTGAACATGGTTCTGATCGGTCCTTTTTTTCGACCAATCCCCATATAACGTTCTATTCTGAAAAGTCATTACAAAAAAAAGTATGTAATATTCAAAATTTCGCCGCAAAAGTATCTAAAGAGTAGTATTTCGGTATTCTAAATTGATGTGAAAACTTCAAAGTTTTATAGAGTTCACATTTGAATGAAATTAATATAATATTATGGGTCAATTCCTATCACCACTTGTTAAAATTTAGACTTCTGCATTCTACACACGACCGTATTAGGTTAATATACCCTGTACTACAAGTGGGTGATGTGTGGTATAAGGAACTTTACAAAATTTGCACCATCTAGTGCTATTATTGTATCCATCCGTTTGAAAGGATTAAACTTGTACTACATTAGGTTGCCGCTTGCCCAGAACTACGCAAGTGAAAAATATACCTTTATATATAAACAATTTATAATTTTTGTGTTCTATAATAGAAATAAGAATTGTGTCCGACAATCTGGTGTATTGTGGTGTAAACGGTCGTCCTTGTCCGACTATAATGTTCTTACTTGTTTTTGACAAGATGATGGAGAAAACGAACGTTTGGTTTACTAAGGACGTTGACTGCAGCGAGCGCACACGGAACTTACTGGGCTTTACTTTAAGCGTGTTATTATAAAAACATTTGGAAAAATAGAAAACAGTTAAAATTGCTTAAGCAAGAATTAAGCATTAGTTTATAAAATTTTATTCGTTTGTAAAATTCAATTTTGAAGTATAAACAATATAATAATATATAATAGTAATATTATTTGAATGGACGCCGTGTAGAGAGAGAATGCGAAAACATATCAAGAAACGTTATCGGAGTTTTCGCCCATGCAAATAAAGAGAATAAAAAGGAAAGCATATAAATGGCTGCCAATTACCAGCGTTACTACTATTATTGATGGCTGACTCCTAAGATTCTCACAGTCTCAAGTTAAAAGAAAACGTCGGAACCTCTCCGTGAGTTCACACATATATCAAAGTGATTTCTTAAGAAACCCAGTATCAAAGAAAGCTGGGGTCGGATTAGGGTAATCTAGCTATAGTACGACATAATGGAATTTTGTGACATTAATAGGATATGTATAACAAAAACATTATACGGAGAAGTGGAAGAAAACATTAATAAATCAAATGTAAAATTTGGTAAAGAAATTAATGAAAAAAGCGGAATATATGAAAAATGATATAGAACAAAATTTAATAAATTGAATTAAGTATGCCACTGTTTATTTAAATTGTCTATTTTTTCTTTTGTTAATAGCTAGCTTGCTATTTATAATTTCCATACAAAGTTTGTTTGTATGTATCCTGCTCAAACAGGCCAAGGTTTTTAAGAATACATTTTCAATAGTTCTTAGTGATGCCTTGTTTCCACGTTTTGTCGTTCCTGGAATTTTTTTCGTTAATTCCTTTTCGTTTATTATGCTATGCAAAAGAACCGATTATTATTATTTGATTTTATTGCCTTTGCCAACATTTTAGAATTTCAGAAATTAACTAATCTTCCTATGGCTATTGAGTTTATTGAATGTGTGCTTTTGCACTTACATTTTAATGTACTTTCCCTTTACACATGGAGTTTAATAGCTATTTTGCTCTTAAGCTAAAATATGAAGTTCGACATCGAGCAAACACTCATACGCTGTCGAGTGCCATCAAACGAATTCTTGTTAACGAGAACCAACCAAAATGCACATTCGACGTCGAGTTCGCTTGATAACGAGAACCGTAAATCAGTTTGTATATAAGCGTTCTGACATCATCACTAAAAATATAATTACCTGTTTAAATTTACTACATGCAAGTAAATATTTGTGTTAGAAAAAAGAAAGTAATAAAGAAACTGCGAACTTAATAAGCATTCTTTGTAAGCGAGGCGCCAATACTCGCAAACGGTTTGTAGTCAACATGCTTTAGAAAATAAATCGCAAGCTGGGTAGAGTTTTGGGTTTTGAAATTTCTTACTATTCTCTGCACGATGCAAGTCATGTATGATTGAAAAACAAAATATATGTACATTCATAGGAGAACAACTCAACTCTATTTTAACAATCCCCAACTAATAACATAAATATAGGTCGAGAGTTTAGCTGGAAGAGAGGAAAATGACTATCGTATAAATAAATAATAAAACAGAGAATGAAGTGTACGTTATGAAATCTGTAATATAAATATTTTCAGCATTACGTTACTGTTATTGGAAAAAATTTTTGTCATCCGCACCTCAACAAAACAGTGTACTAAAACAAATGTGAGTGTTTTTTTTATATAAGCTGTTGATGGAATGTAAATGTCCTTTTAGCTCCTTTATTAGTTTTTGCTTCATCGGCTATAACTACGTTAGGGCAATAAAACGGTTGATTGTCCCGCTAATAGAGGTCCGCAAGTGGCCATGACAGATTCTGAACTTTTTTGTGAAGCCATGCTAAAAAACTAACATCGCAATGAGCACAGACAAAGTCGGATTGCCATTGGAAGCAATGCACAGAACAACGGCAAACAAAAACATTTACAAGACATTCCGGTACTGTACATTACATAAGCTACTGGAACTAAGAAGGATCGATCTCCTTTTGGTCGCAGGCCTCCTGTAGGGATCATAATTCCTCAGTTATCAGCTGGAAAACATGAATATCTCCGACACCGGTTCATGCAGATTGTACCATCATATCCTATGTGAATGCGAGGCCATCTGCAGAAACAGACACAAAGTGTTTGGCGAGGAATGCCCACACAATAATATTAAGTTTCGCGTTTCAATTTAAAAATACTCCGTTTGTCTGCAGTATAATACATATCTCCGTTTCAAAGCTCTTATGCAATGTTACAACTAAATATATGCTCATCAAAAAAATGTAAGTGTCACTATTCCTACCCTTTATTCTTTTATACAGCGTCGCAAAACTAATACACCCTAATCAAAATGTGTTAAATAATAAAACCAAGTACATCACTTTTCGGTTAATGCTAAATTGTCAATCGGTTTGTGTTTTTGACATATATACATGTATTTAGTTTTTATATATATGCAGATACGGAAACCATGTCCGGGAAAATTATTGTTAAAGTCTTTCAAGAGAGAACAACAAAACAGTAGAAGCTAGAACGTAATATTAAAATTGAAAATTGTCATTACACCCTACGCCACTTGCCGTACAAATTTGTAAATTTGTGCCGACTTATACGACACGCAGAAGAACTAGAAATAGATCCACTTTTTAATATACCGATCGGCTCAGAATCACTTTCTAACTTTTGTCTGTCCGTCTTGTTCCCTTGTGTTCAGCAGACAGACAGTAATTTTTTAATATTTTAATGAAATTTTGTAAATTGACGAATTTTAGTCCAAGAATGAACGGTATTGAAAATAGTTCGGATCGAACCACTTTTTGACCATTACCCACATAAAATCTTATTTTCAATACTCTTTACATGACCACACAATAGTATTTTGACTTGCTTTTTATTAATTGTTTACTAATTTAAATTCATGTTGATGCGTTCAACCTCATAAGAGCGTTAGCCGTCTGAGAAGCTGTAATTGCTGTCAGATTCAACGCAAATTCATTCATTTTTCAAACTTTTAATATGAGGACTAAATAAACATTTTCGTTGCTCGATGTTAAGCGATTGACTCTTTCTTTACTTCAGTAGCGTTTTCGCAAAAAGGCAAATCTCCAGAAACAGTGTGAAACCTTCTTTATTAATATTATTTAATCTGTGTTTGCGAGAATAAGGATAAAAATACGTAATTAGTAACGGAATATTAAAAAATCGATGTTGGCATAGTCAAGTAAAAATTATTTGCTCGTTTCCTCCGTTAAGAATGCGCTCGCAAGTTTTGTTACGCCGCTGTTCACGTGCTTCTTTTTTTTATAGTTTATTTATTATCATTGTGATGACGTCATCTTGTTGATCTGAAAAACATTTTGCATATATTATATGCAGTGCAGGCGGCTATGCAAATGATATTTAAGAGCGATGTTTTTAAATTATAAATGCTACCTGGTTAGCCAATTTTATGTCCGAGGAAACAATAATTGTGAAAATAAGACGACGTAGTGTTTTTAGAACAACTGTAAATTCCAATCCAAAAATTCACACATTCGAAACACAGTTGGAATAAACACTAAGGACGTATTCAACGCCGCGGAAATATTGATTGTTCATAATTGAAAGCATTTCTAAAACAAATTAATTTTATTGATTAAGTAATAGGTTCGTCTTTTTAAGAACACTCCGTACGACAGATTTCTGTCATTGGTAATACGGTTTTCTATATGTCTGATATTCGTAGTTTTAAAGTCCATTTATATTATTTTTAAAAAAATTTTTAAATTGTCGATCATCATCATCCACTTAAAACCAAAACTCTTGCAAATAACTTTTTGTTTGATATTGAAAACAAAAAACAGAAATTACATTCATATATTATTCGTATATTCTTGGATTTGTATTCCTATAAGTATTCCTATAAATATTCGGAAGGCTGTATTTGAAGACACAAAAGGTTGTTTTTTTTTTTTTATATTACTGGTGTTTTACTTAATCCAACTCCCTTTATATTTTCTCTTCTTTGGTATATATATATATCCCTTATAAATTTAACATTGTAACTTGGTATAAAAAAATAATTACAAAAATTAATACTTATTATTCGCTACGTTTTCAGTGAGTAATGTGCGTGTCTCAAATTTATAGAATGATTTAACTTACAAAGTTTGCCAAAAACTTACATTTCAAACGAGCGCATTACTCACTTTGAAAGACGAAAGAATTCTTGAACTTGGCCGACCTGTGTGATGACTCATCGCCTTACGTAATAATAATTCCCAATATATAGCTAATGAACAAACAACCGCAAACTTTTATTTGCCCAGTTGATGCGCATTAAATATAAACATTACTACAATATACCAAATGAAAAATTAATTGTTACATTCTAGCGTTCAAGTGTGTGTAATTGTTTAATAATCGAACATCACTTCGTCTTGTTTTACTTGTTCGTCTTCCTACTGCAAGTAGAGTTCTTTTAGGCAATTACTGTAAATGCGTGGATAAGAAACGAACTTACGGTTCATTTCCAAATCTGAAAATTATTTCAAGGTTACAAGAAAATTTTATGGTTCCCAGAGAACGTTTAATATTTTCTCAAAAAAACAAGTAAAAATCGCGCTCTATTAAATAGCCCACGCTGCCCTACTGTTATTTATACAACTTTTTAAAATAACACGTTATAAGAGAAGTAATCGAAACAATGGTCCGACCCATGCTTCAATAGCATTTTTCAGTGGTCCAAGACGTGTCTTTGAACCAAATTTTATCAAAACGTCTCAAAATAATGTAGTGTGCACAATAAACACAAGTAAACAAGACGGACAGATGCGCTTAAATCAAATCAGAAAATAATTCTGATTCGATAGATAAATTAAAAGGTAGGTCTATCTCAAGTCCTACTAAGTATTCCGTACTTCCGCTTAAACTTCATATACCCTTATATTACGACTTGTGTGATGTGTAAAGCGTAGTAGTTTAAAGGAAAGGTATGCAAAACACATGCAGAAAAAGTATAGTATTGTATCTAAATCATTGGAATTTAGGATATTTCACTCTTTTTCCCTAGAAAAAATTCAAACGCTGCAGCCAAGTTCGATTTTAATATACCTTACAGCATCCCGATTAATACACATCTGCATTTACCTTCCCCATAAAATACCAAAAATTTTATTCTGCTATGTTAAAAGTCTCTTTTTAATGAGGACGCTTATATGGGAGGCAGTAATTTTCTTGTCAAAAAATTTGTAGTTCTTCATATATTTTCTGGATAAAAAACAATTATATCTTCTTGCCCTATAAAGATTTGTTTCAAGAGGCCCCTTACATGGGATAGCCAATGAAGTCCAAATTTACCACAGTAAGCTAACACTTCATAAATGCTGGTCCCGACTATTTTCATCATAACTTATTAGTTTTTTTTAAAAAATCCATACTTTGTAAGAGCGTTTATAACCAGGTTCTAAAATCCTATCCAAATTTTTCAGATTGGTTTACTAAACCAACATAATATTTCTCACCGAATTTTGTTGGGAAACGTTAAAAATTGAAAAATTTCCTCTTGTAAGGACTTCTTTTAAAGAGGAGGATGATCAAAAATAGTTTACCTAATATGAATCTATGTTCGCACAGATGTAAACAAATTGTATTCGAGGTAATAATAATCTACATTTACTACAAAAAAAATGACAAAAATGAAACACAAAACCAAAACTTTAGAATATAATTGTAACATATAGGTGAGATATAAATTATTAAATGAACAACTTTCACTAAGTAATACTTCAAAATGAGATTTTACACATAATCGGCAAAAAAGGAACTCATTCCATGAAATCTATCTAAACCAAAACTATTAAATACAACTGTGGAACTTCTAAAGAGAGAAATTCAGAGAAAGAGAAAAGCTAGTACTTACATTTAGAGCTGTCTGCGTGTTTTTAAAAAAGTTTTAAAGAAAATATATTTATTATTAGTGGAAATATAAGAGCGATATTTAAACATTTTGTTTTATATATTTCTTTGCATATGGGAATGATAATATCGTGCTCCTCTTATGTTCTAATGAATTAATATAGTAAAGTGCTATTAGTAGGTGCTTATAATATAGATGATTCGCTTATTCCAATTGTCGGTTTTGGTTTCAACTGATCGACAGTGATGATTTTCATGTCAATGATAAAGAACGGCCTGGAGGGCCAAACCAGTCCGAATACAATGAATTGCAAGATTTATTGGATGAAAACCCAGCTCAAACTTTTGAACAATATTCGAATACCTTAGCTGTCGATGAATCAACTGTTTATACGTTTACACGCGACGGGAAAGATCATAAAAGAGGAAAAATGGCTACCATAAGACTTGATTGAAAATACCTTTTCGAAACGCATCAAAATTGCCCTTTCATTGCTTGCAAGGCATAAAAAAATTATAATTTTCTGTGGCTTATTGTGATTGGCGATGAAAAGTGCGCCTACTACGACAATCCAACGCAAAAAAGTTCATGGGTTAATCGAGCAGAGCCACCCACATCGACGTTGCTGCAGGTGTCAAGGCACGCTTTCGCAGGTCGTATGGGTGATTCTGCCGCAACCAGCTTATTCACCAGACATAGCGCCTTCTTATTAATACTTATTCAGATCGGTCATGGCTTGGCTGGCAAACGGAAGAAGTACGAAGATGGGTCGATGATTGCATCGCTGCTAAACCAATCGTTCACTCGATTCGGTATCGCCATATTGCCAGAAAGATGGGAAAAGTTGCAGAAAGAATGCGAAATATTTTGATTAAGCGAATAATCATCAAAACGCATTTAAGCACCTATCATCATTATATCATATTGTTCAACATAATTCTCTCAAAATCATTTAACCTGTCAATTACATGCATAGAGGCTTACTTACGAATGCATACATGAGTAAACTCACTGGTAGGCCGATATATACACCGATTACATGAAAGTTCATTGCGAGATTTCGTCAAGGATCAGTCGATCAACCGTTAATTTTTTGCAGATTTGGAAGCTCTTAGAATCCATATTCACAAACACTTTGACACTCGAATTACAGAAATTTTATGTGTATATATTTCTGCTAAAGTGAGTCAATTTAACCTTCCCGTTTTGTGGAATTACATCGATCGCAGATTGTGAGATAAGAAATTGAAATTTCAATACAAAAGGCATGAAACATGCGTGAAAACACGCTCACAGTAGCTAAGATATTAAAGCAGCCTCTGTGCGGTTCGGTGTGAAAATGGGCCCGACCGTTTTATTGTTACCTCCACAATTACAAAATTTATTTCCAATTTATTCTAACGCACGCTGGACTAGATTTATTGTTAAATGCAGATGTATTAAGTAAGCCGGTCGTAGACGAAGACAAGTTTTTTTTACTTATTTAATTCAGCTTTATTCATCACCACAACTTGCCTCTACAGAGAGACAATGCAGCTGCCTTCTAACATTCCCTACAGAAGGACCCTCAAAATATACTTCAATAGGCGCACTACGCTCACCGCTTGATCCAGGTCTTGCCTTGGAATACCTTTCTGAGATTTAGAAAAAGCCGCTGGAGACCATGTCTTAAACATACGGTGGGTGTGGAGCACCATTTTGAACTTCAATTTAATTTGCCATTGGAGAGTTGTGATTCTACACACCTGCTCTACGGTGATCGAAAACGGTACACTTTGGAAACCAACTTTCTCATATTCTGATTTTCACTCAATACATTGCCTCTTGATACATTCAGGGTTTTAGCTATTTCTTGCAAACTTTGTGTCCACTTATAAAGAATAGCGCCTACTCCGTTCAGTTTCATCGCTGTCCGCAGGAGAGTTTTTATAACAATTTTGAAGCCAATGATAACGATGATCAATTCGAATTTTTTTTTGTTTTGAAAATGTAGTGTAAATCGTAAGGAAAATATCGAAATGATATGATATGTTGGAAGACTGTATTTGAGGAAGGTTGTATTTGATCGTTGGCAGTTTCCAAAAATAATATTAACTTTTGGTAAAGACCGCTTAAAGATCACATTTATGTGCCAGTGTATGGAATGATTGAGCAAGGTGTTATATTCATGAGTAGAATATTTAGATCAAATTTTCAAAAAGGCGTAAGCGAAACGGATTCAAACCATTATGTGGCGGAGAAATAATATTAATTTCAAAAGTTACACTTCTTACAAAGAGTGTATAATTTGACTACTCATGGCCTACTTCCATGTATCTATGTTTGGAACTCACTTATTTGATTTGAACAGTTTTTAATCCATCTATTATAACGTCCAACATCTATCTATGGTTGAGAATCTACTTGTAATATTAATTAGAGTCACCTGAATATTGCTTTTTATTTATGTTAATATATATTAATTATTTCATGTTTCTACCACAACTTTCATAAGTACTAAAAAACTCAATTTTGTATATTAGTCTAATCTGCCTTAGACGCTTGTTTTCTAGATAAAGTGCTCTTTCTGCTTATAATAAGCAGATTCTTGTTTGTTTGGTATAACGGAAAAGTGACAGATCATTGTATCTTCCTTTAACAGCGTAGAGGAGTAAGCCTAAAGGAAATAACGTTCCAGCCTTGCCAACAAGCTCAAGTTCAATGCCAATTATAAATAATCGAATAAATAAACAGATCACATTACACTACGGATATTTACTATCCAAATTATGTTTGTTGTCTACTTCAACGAATACGATTATTTTCAACTTGTGGAAATCAAACCCCATATTAAAAACTTCTATGAAACAAAAATAATACACCCTTGTTCTACGGTCGTGTGCAAAAAATAAATAACATTTTTCACAACAGTGGCGATGACTAATAAAATACAATGAATTAAATTAAATGATGTGATTTACATGAAATAATTTTAGTTATCATACGTATGTGGACTTTGGAAGAGGAATTTAAAGCACTTTAAATACCGATGTGTCGAAAGAACTCTTAATATTTTTTTAATATATATACCTGTGAAAGAGCTGAACATTTTTGTTCGTTATAAATTTTTAATATTGTACTGAATATAAATTTTTCGGTGTTTGAATTCAGTTCAGTATGAGCTCACTTGCTGGGATTTTTATATTTTACAATTTTCTTTGTTATTTTGTCTTTAATCCGCTGCTCTATAGAAACACCCGTTCACACCGTAAACACGTTATACATTGAATCTACTTTATTCTCAGCTCTCACAGTTGTACGCTAATATAAAATGACTCATCCAACTTATGTCTAAATGAAAGGTGAGAGACGATGGGAAAATTTTCGTACATATCGCACAAGGACTTTCTTTTAGAATTAATGATGTAATATTTAAATTCTATCATTTTGTTATCCCGAACTATTGTTCCGAAGCTAGATATTTTTTTCTTTTGTTTCGTGTGGAGAAATTACAGTATAATATATAATATCCTCTTCAGAATGTTATATTCTTTGAGCGTAAAAATTTTAAACGTCTGGTTGGTAATCACGTAGCTGAAAGTTAGTTTTCGCTTCTGTATTCAGCCGTTTTTGCCAAACAAATAAACACAAAAGCGAAATCTAAATTTTTCATATATGATTACTCGTCATATAACAAAGATGCACCGCAACATAATATCCGCCGAATTTCGCTAAACGGTAATAATACACAGAAACATTATAAATATTAGCAAAAATATTTATATATAAGATGGGATAGCCCCTACTGAAATTATAAAAATGTATTATTCGTTTGAACGACACTAAAAAGAACGTAGGGCCATTTACATGGCATATCATTTGTAAAAGTATTGTTACTTAACATTTTTGGAGACATAAAGAGTATAGTTCACCACCTTTAGCAATTCCAGATCTATCACATCCTACGTAGCTGAGTTTTCTGATCATTTTGATTATCACTAGGATACGGACATAAATATTGACCCATTAATAAATTTGAACAGTCGCTTTGTGTAGTTATAAAAAATAATTCACTAAGTAAAACGTATTTAAACATAATAAAGAACAAAACGTGTATGTACAATTAAAAAAATACAAATTTACAAAATTTTCATGTTTTTCTAACAGCAAATCTATTTTGATTCTAATCAAGAATAAGGACCCTTACAACATGTACGTTTTTGAAATTTACAACCTCTTAAAAGACCCAAGCATCGAAGAATGCCACCTATGTGGTTTGGCACCACATTGTAAATCGCTTTAGTCAGGGTCGGTATTAGTTAATTAGTCTGTGTGATTAGAACTTTCCTAAAAGCATATTTATAACAAATTTTTAGTTTCGTCCTAGAGATCGAGCGTGTTGATCGGCAGCCAACAGCTATAAACAGTGACCAGTCGTTCCTCATAAGTGCTTATGACTTTGTTTTCTTATTAACTTTCTACAGAATTTTGTAGTCTGGTACAACAGTCACAATGAAATTCTTCAGTATCAAGTTTGACATTAAATAATGGAGCTAAGCCACGAGAACCATAAGTTTTAATTGAAATGCAGCTTACATGAATGATGTCTAGTACAAATTCATATACATATCTCTATTATCGAAATTTTTAATTCCAAAGAAATAGTCAACTGTTCAGATATATTTTATGCCAAGTCTTGTTAACAAAGTAGAAAAATGGTGCAGAGAAAATCTCGCAGCATTTTGCATGAATTTCGTTAAATTTTTTGATTGAAACATCGTGAATAATGATCTCAGCTCATGCTACATCAAGCAGGAGGAGCAGGAAATCAAAACTTCGCTTATGTGCTTTCAGTTAGTCCTCGTAAGGTCGGAATTGAAAACAGGCAAAAACCGAAAAATACATTTATTTTTTGCAGATGACGGATTCGAATCAATTTTATTCAAAATCTAACTAAATGTTTTTCGAACAACTTAGATTAGCCATATATCATTTTTAAATTAAGAGCGTTCCCTTTAAAAATATATATTCGTAGAGAATAGAGTACAGGCAATTATGCTTACATTATCTTAAGCAGGAAATATATCTCATAAGAAAAAACCTATCGAAATATTGAAATAGTAAAAAACATATACATTCCGTTCACGTTTTAGTTTTCATCTTCGTCAATTTTTAGAGCCAAATAATAACGTATATGTCCCCATATTTTATCTTGTTTTATCAAGATGGCAGTCTGCTCCCACGAACGAAGAAAAACCACCTTTCTAGGCGAACTTACTGCCTTCATAACATTAGCCGATTAAGAGAGAATCATTTGACATTTCGCCAGCATCATTTACGCAACAAAATTATGATGTCCCAATATAGGACCAGAAATAAAAACAACGCTTTGAAAGAGAGTAAGAGAGAGCAAAAGTTGTATTCGACATATACGTGTAAGACAATGAGCATATATGGGCTGTAACAAAATATGTGAAAGAATATGTTTTTAGGCGTCTTAAGCAGTTACATATATGAGCAAAAGCAATGGAATAACCAATTTTGGTCTTCTGTTCTGTTTGTCCGTTTTGTTTCAGTATTTTGAGGAGAATTTCTTTTTATGATTTGCCTTCTTTCCGGAGAGAATTAGTACCATTTTGCCTAATATCTGTTTTTTGCTATAAAATTATCCTTATTCTTCACCATAGTATTGTACCAGGAGTTACCAATTATTTTAAATGGGTTTTCCCCGAAAATATTGCTGGCCTATGTACCATTCGTAATTGTTATTAGCATATTAACTTAATATTAAAGTTAACCTTAAGTTGATATTAGACTAATAACAGTTATTAAAAAAATTTAAATTAAATAGAATAACAGTGCATATGACACATACATATCGTTTTCATATTGATTAAAGTGTAGAAGTTGGAAATAAATATAATAACAATTTTTTTTTAACCATAATAATAGGAAAAACCTGTATGATAGAAATTAGAGAGAACAATAATAACAAAAATTTGTGGCTAAAGATATATACACAAAAAAATTATAGTAATTCACCAAAAAGAAGTCAAATCATAAAAAACAAGTAATAATGTTATAGACGGGTAAAGCCGACCTTTAAATACCCCGCATCACACTGTGTAACGCAATTCTTATTTTTCTTATAGAATATAAAAATTACACCTTGTTTCTATCTAAACGCATATTTTTCATGTGCGTCTTTATGAAGAAGCGGGTCCAAAATGCAACCGAATGAAGTACAAATTTAATCCTTACACATGCTAGGATCCAAAAATGGGCGTAGATGGTCCAAAATTTGTAGAATTTAGTTTTGTATGAAATTACTATTATGCGTTAATTTTCATCGCCACATATTAAAAGTTAGATTTTTCTGTACTGCAAACCATAAATTTTCGTAAAAATCCTTGTTAAGGTAGGATTCAAAAAATAGGCCGAAAGGCCCAAATTTGGCACAGTTAATTTTTTTATGTTATTTACTATTACTTCATATGATTTTCATCGTGAAACTTTGAAAATTATACCTTTTTGTCGTATCCACTTTACTTTTTGTTATATGAGAGGAATTTCAAAAATTGTTTTAGCCGGTCCAAAGTTTTCATATAATTTAGAATGCCAAAATACTACTACCTAGCCACTTTTGCCGAGAAATTTTGAAAGCTACAATTTTTTCCGTATAACGACTTTTCAGAATAGAACGTAGGGGAGTGGTCGAAAAAGCGAACCATTTTCAATAGCTTTCGTCGTTAGGTTAAAACACGTCACTGTATCAAATTTCATTAATATATCTCAAAATTGCGGCTTGTCACTTAGACAAAAATTTAGATCGATAGTCATCAAACGGATACATAGGCTTAGATCAGTTCAGATTACGATTCTGAACGGATCGGTATAATAAAAAGTGGGCCTATCTTAATTCCTCCGACGTGTTACATACGTCCGCATTGCCGTAATATATCTTGTACTACAAGTGATGTACGGTATAAAAATATTAGCATCAAAATATTAAAAGTAAATGCGATAAATAATAAAAATTGCTTTTTGCTAGAAAAAAAATAGGGGGTACACACGCATAAAAAATAGTTTTGCCACTAAATACAACAGCGAAAACTTTCAGCTACATTATTACGCAGTTTTTGAAAGCATTTTTTTTTAAGTAATTCTTTTTCCTCTTTTAAATTTCAAAGTTTCCTTCAGTAATGTTGACCCTACATTACTGCAACAATGGACGATGAAAATTCTATTCAGTGCTTTGCCGTGTAGAACTTGTGTCTTTATCTAAAAAAAAAAAGCAAGCAAGCGCTTAGGTTCGAGAGCGTACACTTGTAAATTTATCTAATGCTTATGTACGTACATATGCTCTGGTTCAAATGAATAGTTTGGAATTTCTCGAGTGAAACACTAATTTTCCGACTCCATTGGCCCAATAATGCATATCAAACTATAACAGGACTGTTGTCGTGTTCGCCGTAAGCAGTTGGTTTAAGAACAAGATTCCTGCTTCCTGCACAAGAAAAATTATGCAAAATATGTCAAAACGTTAAAACGTGACATTATTAATCAAAAGGGATACACCGCCACAGATTAATTTTTAGTAATATGCTTTTTTTTCCTTCGTATGCTTCCTTGTACAAAAAAGCGTTACATTAATGACGCTACATTTTTGAGTTCTTGAAGTTATTTATTTTTCTTACCATGTTAATTTTCGAACAATGGTTTGCTTATTTTTTAATATTTTAATACGTATTTCCTAGTAGTAAGAAATAGTAAAATAAATTTTTGTTTTGACAATGGACTAGATGTAACAAGCGTTTATTTTTTGTCGAGGGAAAAAATCCAATATTAATGAAACTCACTGCAAAAGTAACAAGCGTGTTTTTTCAGTTAATTTTTCGTGCAGAAATTTTCTATTTTGGATTCAGCTCAGCTTGCAAGAATATCCCTTATTCACCAGTTCACAGCGTAAGAAGAAGTTTTTTTGCAAGCAGCAGATGATTTCAATTATTCCTGCTAGGTGCACACTATAGTCCGTAATAGAGTGTTTATAATTAATTAGCAGTCTCTAATAGTTTTACAAGGATATACTTGAGCGACAATGTAATTATTTCAAATATGATAACAGGAATGATGTGGGAACGTTGTCGTCGTCGCCCTAAACCCAAAAACCATGGTAAGATATTTATAAAAAAATCGAGATGGCAGTGGATTATTGGTGACCGCATCCGACCATATGTATTATATTAACTTTGGGCAATTTAAAGTGAATGTTTACAGGAATCGTGAAATATTTGGACTTCTTCTAAATTTAGTAGAGATGTTACCGAAGTTTTCGTATAGACCATCAATACTTGCTAAGTGCAGATTGTTCTTAACTCTGCTGTAAGTTTCTCATTTTTTATAACTGAAATTGAATTGCAGATATTTGGCTCGTGGAGTATATGTCAGATAGTTATCGCGTATTATGGAATGTTCTTGTTCCATTTTATTTATATTTACCAAACAAGTAAGCGTGGAAGCGCATAGCATGTCATTTGGAAATATTCGGAATCTTGTACAATGCGTAGGTGCTGCCGATGGAAAACACGTTGATATTTTGCATCCTCCTAATTCTGATTCATAATATTACAACCGTTTGCTACGCTAAAACATGACCAACATTTATAATATATTCGTTCTTTCAGGCATATACTCAATAGTTTTCCAAACAGTGTGCGATGCGAACTTTGCTGCAATTGACACTGAAGCGTACAGGTTCCAAAGTGGTGGTGGCATTATGTTCCATTCGGAGTATGAGAGACGCTTAGTCCAAAATGGATTAGAGCTGGCTGAAACTAAAATAATTAATATCAAGTTTCCCTACTATTTTGTGAGCGACGCACCATTTCCTCTACGATGCAACCTAATAAGGTCTTACACAAGGGATTCTACTAAAGCAAGACGCGGAGAGTTTTAACAAAAGCTTATTCCATGGAAGGACAATCGAAAGTACGTTGTGTTCATCGTTGTAGGGTGCTGTTAAGCACCTAACGGTACACTACATTTACTTTACATTTCCGTTTTTTAAGAACATGAATAGAAGTAAACCATTTCATAATAAATAAATATTTAAACGGAACGCCCAATTGTTCATACTTTATATTAGAACTTTACCTGTTTATGCCAAAATTAGTCAATTAAACCTGAAATGTTTGTGGGACAAAAATGAATACAAAAAGCACTCCTTAATTGATTAAGAACCCTATTGGTTACATTTGCAGCTTATATAAACGTGAATACATAAGGAAATACAACCTTTGCCAAGCTCACGAACTAAGATAAAAATAACTGTGGGTACATAAATGCATTATATTTTGTAGATTTCAAATTACAGTGAAATGTTGGAACTTTTTTTCCGATCTTAAAGTTGGTTAATAAATCTAAAGATAAATACTCTTTTTTTTATACATTTATATATATGAGATTATATATTATAAAAACCACTTGTACAAATATGTGCGAAGAATTAACACAAAATGTTCAAAAATATGCGAAAATCGAACGCCAGGTTTCTAAAAATTGAATAAATGTTCATCGCAGTTTGCGTTGCTCTGTTCCTGAACGCATTGTTGGAAACTTTTAAAAATTCTGCGTTCGAAACAAAATCATGTGTTCAGGCACAATAAAAAAATCAAAAAATAAACATCAAAATCTGTATAAAAATAGGTAATTGGCTCAATAAGTCATAGTTTCATAAGCACTTCCTTCTTAATAACTTCCTATGCCATCTAGCTCTTAGTGATGGAGGCGCTTTAACCTTAAAAAAAAGCATTTGCTCCGCGCTGGCATTCTTTCTTCTTCTTCTTGAAGGCAGTATACGTATTGTTGCAGTACTGACGTTTTTATTCAAAATCGCAAAATTTCTTTTATCATTTATTATTTCTTTCCATTTCCTTCAGTTAACAAGTGTATTTTTTGCAACTAAACACTCTCAGCGTGTTCCATGTACCACGATCCGGCAGTAATGTTTCAGGCAGATCCAAAGGCTTCAACGGCTAGCCGTTCTTCCATATTACTTCGAGCAGTGATACGGCTTTCTTCATTTGACCACGAGACGAACATATGCATACTTTAACGTTAATACACCAAGTTTATTATTTGTTGGAAAAATTGCAAATATTTATTTGCTTTGATCACTTTGAAATATTTTAGTGGCTTGCCTAGACATTATGGTCCGAAGGTTCTCCAACTAATAAAATAACTTTGTTATTATTTAAACATCCAACTTTTGCGTATTTACGAATAAATTTAAGGAGGATGAGAACATTTTGACACACTCTTCCTCTTTTCAGGTAAGCGTTTTTTGAAAATGAAGTTTTTATGGACAAAAATCAAATTTAATTATATTGATAATAATTAATTAGCTACCTGGTATTTACAATTTAAAAAAACTAAGGAAACTTGGGTTCATTCTTAATATATGTTTTCCATTTCTTAAATTCCAGCTTTTTTGATATCTTTCATTTGACACAGTAATCTTTTCTCTGTTGTCTTATGATGGCCTCTAATTTCAAACATCTTTCCCTAAGGGTGGCGTTTTCTTTTTGCAGGATATCTATTGTAGCATCTTTCTTTTCAATGGCCTGCTGAACTCTATATGAAAACATAGCAAAAGAATTTTAAGCTGATAGGAATTGACAAAAAAACTATTTAAATTGCCCACCGTTTATGGATTTGCTGTATCTCCTGATCCCGTCCAATTTTTAATCCTTGCATCTCCCCCTGCAATTCGCTTTTCAAATTTTCTCTTAATTGTTCGCGTTCGTTGAGAAAGTCTTTGCACATCTGCGCGATACCAACGACAGATTATATTAGCCTAAAATTTTGGTAACTGTAGGCAATTACCCATCTTACCTTTTTACTATGTTCCAACTCCATGTTCATACGTTTAATATCAGCTTGAAGATTTTTCACCTGAGCGTCGGATTCCGCTAACTTGTTGCGAGTTATAGTGTATTTCTCTCTTACAGACCTTTCCACAACTTCAGCTTCTTGCAAATCTTTTTCATATTTTTGCTTTAAACGACTAACGAGCACAAACCATATAAAAATTCGAAAACACAATTCGAAGCGAATGAGCCATCTTACCTAATCTTAACTTGATATTCTTCATTATTCTTTAAAGATTCTGCGTCCATTCGTTGCACAATGGAGTCAATTTGCCTATCTCGTTCAGCTCTATAATATTGTCTAACAGCATTCTCCTTTTCCACTTGTTGCATTTTGCAATTATTCTCATGCTCTTTTTTCCATACCTCGAAATCAGCTTCGTACTGTTTTTCAATAGTATTTAAGCGATTTTGGTACCTTTCTTCTTGTTTTAACATTTTTTCCTGTATTTCTTTGGTAGTCCGCTGGAATTCAATTTCTTTATCTTTTTGCCATTCTAGTTTTCTACTTTGCATGTCTTCTTCCCTGGTTTTTAAATCTCTTAAAAGATTTTCCTTTTCTTGATGGAAATCTTCAACAAACTTTTGTTTTTCTTTATTAAAGGCTTCCCTTTCCTCTTCTATTTGTTTCTCAAATCTTTTAGGGGGAGGAAAAATATTTAATGTAGGGAATATAAAAATAAGGTATTCAGACAGGCGCACCTTACCTTTCTCTAAGCACAGCTCTCTCTTTAGCAATTGTAGATTCTCTGTCTTGAGTGCACGATTCTCTAATGCTGTTTTCAATTTGTTCATGCTTCGCTCGCGCCTCTTCCAAGGCCGCTAGCAAATGTTGCTGATGTTGGTTTTTTAGTTCTGTAATTTCTTTCTGATGGCATGTTGACATTTTATTAATTTCCGTTTCTAAGCCCTTGACGGTAAGCTCCTTAAAATTTATAAGTAAATTTAGTCATCTCATTTCTTAATTGGGAACTTACTTTTATTTTCTTAGTATTTTCTTTGACCCAACGCTCTCTCCGTATTTTCTCACTCGCCAAAATATTTTCTTTCACTCTTGCAATTTCAGTTTCCAATTTATGTTCCCAAGCTTGAGTTTGACTTTCCAAACGCCTTGTCAGAGCGGCGACTTTCTCACAAAGACACCCTTTGTCTTTAAGCAACTATTATTACAGGCCAAAAGGCTTAAAATATTTTGTTCGAAGTCCACATATTATTTTCTTACTTGTTCTATAAAGGCTTGATGTCTGCACACTATTATCTCATAACGTTTCTTTTGTTCTCTCATACGTAGGGCTGCATTTGATTTCTCAGACCGCACAATCTTCTGCTTCTCTGTGCGAATTTTTGCTACGTGTTCTTTAGAAAGCAGTAATGCATTTGCCAATTCGTTGGCCCTCAAACTAAGTGCGATGATTTTTCGCGCTAACTGGTGATTAGGCAGCATGAGCAAGTCGGAAAGCCTAGAAAACAGAACCAGAAGGCAGAGAGCCAGAATTCTCTGAATACACAATTGAGTATGTCTCAGCTAAAGAAAGACAAGCTAAGCAGAAGTTATTTTTGATTTGGTTATAACACTTTTGTATTTATCGCTAAGTCACATGACGGGAACCAATTTTTGAAATAAATTACGACAATCATACAGACTCTCGAATCGCATACGTGAATAACATATAAATAAGAAATAAGTGCGGACAAGGGATTTAATTCCGACATTCACGGTACTTGAAATCTCATTCTGCTACATTTTGCTAGCAACTTTTTGAACCCTAAGATATTTGTATCGCGAGCTCGAAAGACCCTGACTTTCAAAGCTTTTTCTAGAAGTTTTCGAAACACCAAATTGAAATCAACCATCTTAATAAGCGTTTGTGGCAGTAATGTAACAAAAAGTTTGGTGTTTAGTGTTGGCGAACTCTTTTCTTCTAGTCAAAGTTATGCAATCGTAATCGTGATTCGAAGTTGAATTCACTATTGATTCGGATCATGGATATTCTACCTTACAGGTCAGATGTGTGCTTTTAGGAGAAATTCTAACATTTGACAATAGTACGTTTTCGTGGAGTCTTAAGGAATTTTTCACTTACTTTGGCACGTCTTCCACAATATCCGGTTCCACGACGAATCCTATTTCCGAAGGTTTAGTAAGGCGCGTTTCTAACAACGTTTTTTCGCAACTGTCCTCAACATTATCTAGATAACTTAAAATGTCTTGTAACTTATTATCAGGAATTTTAGAGTTACCGTACATCTCATCTGAATTTTGAAATGTTGTAAGAATGGGTGTCAAGCCGTTGACAATATAGTTATCATAATATCTTACCCTTTTTCTTATCGTCCTCGATTTCTTTAATAACAGAAACGATTTCGTCGTACGTAGAATCGTCTTGAGAATTATCATGTGAGCTTGAAGAGGGTTTATCATCCTCTTCTTTAGCGATAGCTCCGTTTTCAATGTCGGGATCCAAAGTTTTCATTGCTTCTAAAGTTTCTTTGGTAAGTTTCTGAAAACTTTCATCGAGCATCGAAGTATTTAACGACAATTTTTTTGGCAAAGATTCATGCGAAGACATCCAAGTGTCCACTTTATCAATATTAAATTCAAGTAAATTTGAATCTTCATTTTCCACCGTCTGTATGTCTCTACTGTGATCGCCTTCTGACCTAGGGCAATGCCCCTTTGCCAGCTTTCTGGTTGCATCCGAAGTTGTTCCACTATTTTCTTTTTTTTTAATAATGGAAGTTGAAGCCACCATCTTTAAACAGTTATTAGAGTTGTTGCTGACGTCGATTGAATTGAAATTTTTATCCATTTTCAGCAAGTCTGGTTCATATAATGGGCCGACGTTTACGAGATTATTAGGTTTTTGCGGATTCTCCAAAATTGTATTGTATAAGTCAGAGCAATTGGAGAGATACAAGGGTATTTCTAACTTCTGACAATCTATTATTTTTAGATTTTTATCTTCCCACAGGTTTTTAAATAACGTACCTTCTAACTTGTCCCCAACGGTATTTTTATGATCTCTGATGACGTGGATCTCCCCTTTTTCAACCGACTTACCAGCTAACAAATTAGATGGGGTATGCTTGTCTATCTTCGAAGCGTATTTGAAACTTGTCAGGTTGCAAATACACTGAGGACTTGCACCTTGTTGACTGCTAGAAGAAGAACTGCGAGGACTACATGAACAATGTTCGGAAGGACATTTCGGATATTCGTAAGTTTCTGCTACAATTTCTTCATTATTTTGGTGAGCACCAAAACGAACCGATTTCTTAAAATTCGCGGTAGCCAAATTATGGTTCTGAACGGTTTCAAGAGCAGAATGGGTTGTCGAAGATATATCAGTTTCCCTCGTAGATTTCCCAAGGTTTGAAGCCGTACCGGAGAATTGATTGCGATCGCAGTTTTCTTGGTATTGGACTCGAGAAATTGATATGCTTTTCAGTAGATCTGTACTGGTGGAGGATTTGAGGTTCTGTTTGCATATATAAAAACTTGCTTTCGTATTTACGGGAGAAACGGAAATTGGCTTGCAGTTCTTATTTGGCATAGAGGACTGCTCAGAGCTTTTGTGTGAAGTATTCATATATTTAGCACTTTCGCAGAGACCATCATCTCCGATAAGACAAGGACTTAATTGTGAAGAATTGTCCAATTCGTTATTGGCAGCTGTATCTTTGCATAACCATTGGCGCTTTATAGGTTCTTTGAGTAAGAGCTTCAAAAGACTTGACGAAGACACCAGATGTTTTTTCTAGAACAAGATTTTAGTAATAATAAAAGGATGTTTAAAAAGAAATTCTTACATTATTTTTGCCTAAATTGGATATCGATTGGTCAGATGTCTGAGTGCTGCTTCTTGCTGTAAAATTTCTTCCCAATTTCGGATCTGCCGATTGCGGCCGTGCTGTGCATAAAATTATGCGGTTACTTTTTTCATATATATTGGCTGATTTAGGTCTCGATTCACCGCGTTTGACCGTATGCAATAAGTTTGTTAATGAAGTATGTTTCCCCTTGGTTTTTACTTTTTGTCTTGCAGCCAGATTTATCTTTGGGTGGTGTTAGTTTAGCGTAAAAAAATCTTTCTCCGTGTTAATATACATGTGCATACATAAACACATTTATTTTTCTCACCTGCGAACCTCTCAAACTTAAATCCATACTAAACTCAGAACCATTTAGTAGCTAAACATTTCCTTTCAATATTTAAATTATTATTTTATTCAATTTTTTAATCGTAAAATTTTTCAATGCATACTAGGCGTACGTCTAAGATTGTTGTCAAATCATTTTTCGATATAAATGTTGTTCTTTTTGCTTGCAACATTCCCGACACTTCCTAGACCGGTTTTACTTTTGATTTATTTTGGTCAATTGGCATCGATAAACGTAGTTATTAAACCATCAGTAGATGTTTTTCAACCCTGTTTTAGTTTGTAGAAATATAGGGTTGTAAACTTGTGGGTTTACATTGGCATACGCATATATGTGTTTATAAGGTAGAAACAAGCTTTGGTTGTTAAGAATTCTTAAAACCTTTTATTCAATAACTAAGCGTTGCATATAAGACAAAACACTATATTTTATATGAGTAATAACGGAGAGAATTAAATTGCTAGATTACTTAATATGGTTCACGTTGTGTAAAATGTTTACGAAGCAATACGTATACCGTTTTGGGTTTTAAAATGAGTATTCTCTAAGGAAATTGGCGTATACGTGCAGAAAAAATCAAACCCTGAACAGAAAATATAATTTGTTTGCGTTTCATCATTTATGGCAACTAAAATCGAAGATGTTTAAATTTTATGTTCATCGAACTACTCAATAAAATTTAATTCCAATTTCCTATGAAGTATCTGAAAAAATGTTTTATGATTAAAAAAAGTTTAGTTGTGACAATAGTTTATCTTCATACTCTATAATACATTTGCGTACTACCCTAACCCTCGTTTTATACGATTTATTTTATACAAAATTTGATTTAACAAGAGTTAAAACACTAGAAAATGCTGTTTCTACACGAATTGTTTTGCTTTAACACGATTTTCCTTATTCTATGAATTTCATTTCTGAATTTGTTTTGATGTTTTTATAGCAGTTTCATTATAGTCTTAAGTACGACATGAATTACGCGTATTAAGCAATGTTGTTTTAATAGACTTTAAAGAGTCCTGTAATGAGAATAAGTAATAGACATAATTTAGGTTCTTGCAAACAATTCTGAGCGGGTTAAACAGCTCATAATTATATTTACATTGACTAAGCTTAACCAAGGTAAAGCGCCTAGAGAAGCGCTTGGGGACATTAAAGCTTATTTCACCAAGTAATGCAGGCGAGTCAAATAGCACCATTTATTACTTTGATTACGAAGGAAACGCCAAGAACCAATCTACGTTTCTCGAGAGACGGTAAGGGCAGCAGACGCAACCTATTTTCATAGGGGGGAAGAGAGGCAATTGGATCCCAACCCAAATTTCTAAGGGCAAACAGCAATAATTGATTTTGAACAGATTCAATTGAATCAACATAGCACCTATAAGAAGGAGACCACACAACAGAGGCATACTCTAGTATTAGTCTAACCAAACACATGTACAGCCTTTTAGTACTGTGTCACAATACTAGCCCCTTTGTTGCCGGTAGAGCGTACTTATTGAATGGGGTTTGGCTCTCTGAGCCTCATGACAAAGAATACTAAAAAAAACAGGAATAGTCTCGTCGGTAGTCTACCGTACGTCTGTCCACGGTGAGTCCGTCTGTCATCGCCTGAAGTCCTCCCTACGGTGCCATCATATGCACACCCCCTTTTCTCAGCTACAGCGGTGGCGGCTCGCGCTTAGCCACACATCGTGAACAACAGAAGAAAGGAACTAAAAGAACTAGTTAACTTACAATACTTGGTGCAATTGGTGTCGTCGTTTGTTCCGATGAACTTCTTAATGATGATTCTCTCCACGGATAGTAGGAATTTTAGTCGGCGTTACCTGACTTAGTAGCAAATATTTGTGGGTATCGTTGATCGCAAATAACAGCTTCCATCCAAACGCCACAGTTGTTATTGTCCCCACCTACAGAAGTAATGTTGGAAAAGGACAGTGATGATTTGTGCAGCATAACTTCTCCGTTATTGTTACACAACACCAATGTTCTTAGTTTCACCTTTATTATTGTTTAATAGCTCCAAAATTCGTCTTGATTGAAGTAAACACATTGATTTGTTTTTTTTTTCGTTTTTTTTTTCTATTTTATTTTTTTTCTTTCAACAAGTAATGATGTCAACTAAAAAGCTTCAAGTTTACAATAAGAATGTTTAAGAAATTTTTGCACGACTTTTGCTTTTAACAGCCTTTTTATATAGGAAGGTATTTTTCTTTTACACATGACAAACTGATTCATTGACGCTTTGGAATTTTCTGAGATTTTGTACAAAGTGAAATCCCTTTTTTTTCCATCAATCTTTTGCAGTTAATTGATGCGATATTTTTATCAACTTTTTCTTTTTGACATTTAATGTTTACCGTTGAACTTTTATTCTGGTAAGAATCTCTTATGGAAATCAACAATTTAAAAATTAAGAAAATTAATAAAGAATTACACGACCATTTGTTTATAAATGTCCTCTTTTACAATAATTTCTTTACATTATTCACTTGACAAAAACAATAAATTCTTCTTGCTTAACTAAAAATTTCGTATTGAGAAAAAACGGTGCAGCCATTATTCTTGACTTGCTTGTTCTTCCTCCTCCTGTGATTCTCTTAATTGTTCCACCGTTTCTTTTTTTCTTGTTACCTTTTTTTCTTTTTTTTTTTCTTTAATAAATCTTTTACAAAACACTTATATTAAAATAATGTTTAAACCATTTTCTTTTTCTTATTTCTTTCATTTGAAACAAAAAAAAAAGGTTTCTTTATTCCTCTGTATTTCGCTTCTTTTTCGTTTTACGAGCAAAATGGCTATCATAGAATTTTCCTTTAGATTCTTTCTTTCTGTCCTTTGTTTTTTTTTTTTGATATTCAGATAAAAGAAATCATTGACAAGTCCGCAACTTTTATTGCTATTATCCGATCCAGAATTTGGATGAACTTTTCTGTTAAATCTCACTCAATATAAATTTAGGATATTTTCTTCTTTAAAGTGGAGCATTTTTTTTTTCTTTTTGGTTCACAAAAAACGTTTAAATTTCTATTTATTAAAAACTGAAGTCAATAATAACTTTCACAACTCGCGGACACGTCCGCACTCCACCAGAGGCCAAGTTGTTCTCCCCTCTATCTTCAAATTAAAAAACAGACAGACTTTTCATTCCTACTCAATTTCCCCCTTCTTCTTCCTGTTGCTCTCTCTGTAGCGGCTTGCCGCTACTCTCACAAAAGCAAGCAAAGATCCCGCAAAATCATACGATTTTTGCCTACTCTTGCAAAAGCAAAGGAAAAAAAAGGGAATACCGCAAAATCATACGATTCTGCCGGTGCTTGCAAAAGCAAAAGGAAAAAAAGGAATACCGCAAAATCATACGATTTTGCCTGTACTTGTAAACAAGGAAAACAGAAAAGAATAAAACAAACATATCCCGCAAGATCATGTGATTTATAAGCAGTACCACAAAATCGCATGATTTTGTCTAAGGGCATGCCGTTATTCCGCTACTTGCGGTTGATACAGACCGACAGACACCCTACCCAAGGTTTGTTCGCGGCCATTACAACTGTAAGGATCATCAAGCTCATTGGACCACCTCTTTATAAAACCAAGCGTGGACCTAGCTTTGCTTAACGAGAGCTCAATGTGCAAGTTAAAACGTAATCTATAGTCAAATAGAACACCTAAATCTGTGAACGTATCGACGTCCTCCAACTTATGCGAATCAATAAAATACGGAGTAATGAACGACTTTTTCCTTGAGAAAGAAAGCTTCTTACATTTATTTAGATTTAGTTTCAAAAGATTCAAAGAGCACCATGCAACCAAATTATTCAAGTCACTTTGAAGCTGATGTGATTGCTATTCTAGAGAGAAAGAAGAAAACAGTTTCACATCATCGGCGTACATTAAGATCTGACTGGAATTAATCACCGATGGGAGAACATTAATGTATAAACTGAATAAAATGGGACGTAAGTGGCTGCCTTGAGGTATGCCAGACGTCACGGGGAATTCATCCGATGTGATGAAGTTAAACAGAACCCTGAAGGATCTATTGTGCAGATCAGAGCTTAACCATTTCACTAAATAGAAAGAAAAGCCAGAGGCTCGAAGTTTAAAAATAAGTAAGTTATGGTTAACCAAATCAAACGCTTTGCTTAACTCAGTATATATTACAACTGTGCGAGAGCCACTAGAAAAAGCCTTGAAAACATGACAAGTAAACTTTAGTAAATTGGTGACTTTCCGAAAGCCATGTTGGTGTGGAGAAATATACGAATTAATGAGAAATGCCAAATGCTGACTCACAATTCGCTCAAACAGTATAGGCAAGACACTCAACTTGGCTATGCCTCTGTAGTTCTCAACAAGTTGTCTACTTTGACTTTGGTGAATGGGAATAAGGAAAATTTTCTTTCAACACAAAGGGAAAACACCTAAATTCAAAGATCGCTTAAAAATCTTAGAGATAACACCATATAATTCGACAGCGCAAGATTTAAGTTCAGAAATAACCAACTTAGGAATTGAAACCAAGTTAGTTATAGGATATGGGTAGTTTGCGGATAAATCGGAACTTTCAATCGAAAAGTTTAGACGGAAGTACTCAGCGAACAGATTTCAGATTTCAAGATCATCCGAGCAATCATAGCCATTAACAGAAATATGCGAGTGATGTGTGGAAATTTTTCTTTTAGAGTTAACAAATTTAAAAAAGTATGTAGGATTAGCAAACAGAGAGGATTTAATGAACTGAAGGTATCTGCAGTAATAATGTTCGTTGAGGGAGTTAAATCTATGCCTCGCCACCGAGTAAGCGATATAGTCGAGAGCAGACCCACTTTTCGAATATTTTTTGAATAGCGAGTTTCTTCTATCCTTGTAATATTTAATTGTCCTATTAAACGACGGGGGACACTTGACCGGAACAGATGCGGCAATAGCTAGATTCAATGTATTGTGGAACGACGAGAATAGGCTTTCAATACATCCAGTTGAGAAATCAAGCCTTATATGTGAAAGGTGATATTTTAGCAATACAATATTGATTATATGAAAATCGTAATAATTATTTGACAAAGTTGGATCTGGAATATTAAAATAATTGAACGAATCATCACGCTTGTGATGAAAGGAAATACACATTGCTGAATGATAAGGATCTTCAGGTAAACTAAAAGGTGAACAACGATTTACTTTAATCTCAGGGAAATTGGCAAAGCAGAGATCAAACAGACTACCATTACAATTAGGCGTACGGTTGTATTGAACTAAATTATGATCAAATAATTCGCTAAAGAACACAACAGCTCTATCAGATGTTGAAGTAGGAATCAAACAACCAGAATTATCACTATTATACCAAGTGACTTGAGGCAAATTGAAGTCATTCAACGCAACTACCAAATCGGAGGGTTTCGACTGCTTGGCGACTTCGCATATGAGGGCGGCCTGTTTTATATAGGGAGATATCAGAATTTGGGGGAATATAGGAGCAGGTTATAAATAGTTGTTTATTAGGCATTTTCACTCGAATGGCGATAAATTCAACGTCAGGAGTATTCGGAAATTCAATTGATTAGGACGGAAATGACGAAAGTATGGCAATTAATACACCACCAACAATGCGATCCCATCGATCATTT